AAGAAGTATTTGAGACTCAGAAGTTTGCTGAGGCAGCAGACATACCTTGAGTGGCCAAAAGATGACAGGAAGCAGCAGACTTTCTGGGCAAGCCTGAAATCCACGCTGCATATTGCAGACAAATCTGTTGTTCTGAAAGACATTGCACTGGCCATTTCAGATACAGTACCTCTGGTTGCAGACCAAATGTAAGTCACGAAACTATTTTATTCAAGCATGAAATGTGCACATATGTGCACAATGAAACAGGTTTGGGTTGATGATAAAAAATGATTTTTGTCAATGAAAAAAATGAAAACTGTTACTGTCCCCCACCCTCATCGCCTAGCTTTTAAGTGGGGACGTAACAACCATTATAAATATAATCAATAACTGGTCAATATTAAATCTGAAATATTTCAGTATTTCGATGATCATTTGTATTTTGCATGCAGAGAAATGTGGTGTCTGTTCTGATGTGGCTTTGTCTTTGTGCCTCCATCCACTGTTTTTAATGACACTTTGCAACACACAGCAAGGAATGATGATGCTGTACAGCACAGGTGACGTATTTGTCCATATAGCACCAAATCACAGTCATCTCAAGATGGTTTGTATTCTAAAGTAGAGACACTACAATAATACAAAGAAAACCCAAGAAAACAATTGGTGACAGTGGGAAGGAAAAACTCCCTTTTAACAGGAAGAACCCTTTAGCAAAAACAGGCTCTGGGAGGGGCAAATATCGGGGTTAGGAGAGGAAGACAGGACAAAGACGCAGTGTGAAAGAGAGGCAGAGATTAATAATCACTAATGATTAAATGCAGAGAGGCGTGTAAATACACAGTGAGTGAAAAAGAAACGAGGGCTATTTCTGTATCATGTCTTTGCTCTCAGTTTACGTTGGCAGTCGTTACTCATCATTGCCATTGTAGAAACGACTGTAACCACAATGACTTTAGAAGACCGAATTTTGTCCGTGTGAATAAATATATGTTCTTTCCACTTTTTGATTGGTTTGATTGAAACTGATATCAGTAGATTATTATTTTATCTTTTCTATCTTTTACTTTGTTTGTTTGTTAAATAAACATTTTATTAAAAATGTATGAGTTTTCATATTTCCTCTGAGAGCTCAATACTATTCTTTTGATGCATGCTGTGTAAAATAGTGTTTTGGGACATAAGTTAAGATAAGATAAGACTTTATTGATCCCACGACGGGGAAATGTTTGCATTACCTAAGCTCAGGTACAGATATCAGAAGGAAATACAAAAATACAAATAAGTACAACCAATGAAAAAAAGTAAGATAATGCACTATATACAACGGTAACATACTGGTTGTCAGTATCTTATAAAGGTGAGAAAAAACAAACATCTATTCCCTAAAGACAACTGCGCTTGAGCCCCAGCAGCTCAGCAGCTCTGTGTTGCAAAGTGAACACTGAGACATCTGTAGAGAAATCTTCATGTACAGCAGGGTCTGCCCTCAACTGTTTGGATTTGGTATTCTTACAACACTGCCACAAAATAACCTAACAGCGTAAAATTACAGTAGGCAATAAAGATGCACGATTGTTCAGCCGAAGCAACATCCAGAACTGCATGAACATCTAATAGACCAGTATGTGAGGGAACACGAGCTACGCTGTGACAGACTGCTCCGGAGCACAAAGGTTACAGGCTGACTTCAGGCAGGGCTGACAGTAGCCAGCGGCTTTCCAGGATGGAAGCTATTTGGAACAGCTGCCTTAAAAGCTGCATTTACTTATCACCCATGTTGAGACTTTTTTTAGAGTCATCCTCCTCAACAGAGAGGTGTCCACAGGCAAGCCTCAGTGATGCTTTTTCTGGCCAACGTGGCCTTAAAGTTTTCCAATTTGTTCAGTTTCTTAGTACAGTGTTTAAGGAGTTCATTAATTTAATTATAAAAAATAAAAATCCTCTCTCGCCCCTGTGGGCGGTCAATCCTTCCAGCTCGGGTCCTCTACCAGAGGCCTGGGAGCTTGAGGGTCCTGCAGTATCTTAGCTGTTCCCAGGACTGCGCTCTTCTGGACAGAGATCTCCGATGTTGTTCCCGGGATCTGCTGGAGCC